TCAACCCGAAACCCTAAACGCCTACACCCTGAACCCTAAATCTCCAAACCCTAAAAAGCCTAAAACTCTAAACCCTAAAACCCTAAAACCCTAAACCCCAAACCCCTAAACCCCAAACCCTAAAACTCTAAACCCTGAAACCCTAAACCCTAAAACCCCAAACCCCTAAACCCTAAACCCCAAACCCCAAAACTCTAAACCCTGAAACCCTAAACCTCTAACCTTAGACCAAAAACCTGGACAACCCCGAAGCTCCAGGCTTCCCCTGCCTTTCCCTTACGAAAGCGTTCGACGCTTAGGGCATCCATAGAGGGTTTGGGTTTAGGGTTTAGGGTTTAGGGTTTAGGGTTTAGGGTTTAGGGTTTAGGGTTTAGGGTTTAGGGTTTAGGGTTTAGGGTTTAGGGTGCAGAGGTTGAAGCTCTCCGCGCTAAGGGGTTCTTTCGGAATCCTAGGGCAGGGTGTTACAGTTTCTGGGTCTAGTGAAGCCTACTCTAGCGGCCTACTTCGCCAGAACAGTATATAATAACCCTAAACCCTAAACCCAAAACCATAAACCCTAAACCGAATATAGGGACATCAAGCGGCGATGAATGCCACGCTCAGGACAAACAGAGCAGGCTTGACTCTTAGATGCATCATGGTGATTTAGAGTTGTATGGGTTTGGGGTAGTCGTGTTTGACTAAACTGACTAAACAGACGAAGACTTTCTTCTAAACCCTAAACCCTAAACTTCTAAACCCTAAACCGTAAATCCCTAAACCACAAAACCCTAAACCCGAAACCCTAAACCCAGGTTTCGCAACAACCAAGCATGAAGTTTCGGGTCTCTCCTTTACAGGGGGTTTTTCGCCGTCTGAAGCACCTTCGAAAAGTTCGTGTATGGACTGTCTGGTGTTTAGTAGGGAATGGGGGAATGGGTTATAGGGACTACTATAAGGGACCTTACGGGACTATCATAGGGATCCATTCGAAAAGTTCGTGTAATGTAGGGGCCTTAATAATTAGAACAGAGCTTTGGGGGGCTCCTTATTATAATTATAGTATAATGGGCCCCAAGCCCTATTCTAATTATTAAGGCCTCTACAGTATAGACTTTTAAAATCCCTCGTTTCGAGGTCCATTTTGTGGGAGTCTTGTATTGTTGAGCGAGGTATTCTACCTTGTTCGACCCCCCTAAAATGGCTTTTCCAGGGCATCTCATCGGTCCAGTATTCGATCGTTGAAGAAGCTGAGGGTTTGTTGGTTCGAGGGCTGACGGTTATGCTTGTGGGGGCCTTAGGCATTTAAGGAAGCAGTGGCCTAGATTTGGGGATTTCCAAGAACAGGGGACCCTAATATAATACCCTAAATAATAGGATCCTTATTATAAGGACCCTAAAATAAGGTACCCTAATTTTCGGAAACTCATATTTGAGCTTTAAGGGCACAGCGTCTGTTGAGGAGCCAGGCAATCTGAAAGGGCGCGGGCACGGGAGGAGTGTAGGACTTCCTCCGAAGGTTCTGGTGTTACTGTGATAAAATGCGGGACTCTCGAGCCCTACCCTAAACCCTAAACCCTAAACCCTAAACCCTAAACCTGCGCTGCCATGGCTAGTCGACGACCTTTGCCGAAACACAGGAGGGATACCTAGGACACCTGAGTACGGCTTGAATACCAAATCGTGGTTTTACATCCCCCAGAAGCATGAGAATCGATATCAGGAGCCGGACTACTTGGAGGTTCATGGGCTGTTTTAAGTAGTCTTAGAAGTCCCAGAAAGATGGGTTCTAACTATAGAAGAAGCCAGAAAGTTGGAACATGAGTATCCACATGCCCTTAAGGTAAAGTATAAGTGATCCTAGCACCAATCCTCCTAAACCCATGTTCCAACTTTCTGGGATTCGAGGTATAGTTCATCTACTTATGACACCCCCACTTGTACTTGGAGGCCCAGGGGACTTAGTAAGTAGGTTATAAGTAGAGTTATAAGTACCCTAAATGGAGTTACCCCAAATATAACCTCTACTTATAACCTACTTACTAAGTCCCCTGGGCCTCCAAGTAACTACCCTGAACCTCCCCGTAGAGGTCTCTACGGCGGGTCATAGTTCCTTTTGCCACCAACCTGAAACCCGAAACCTTAAACCCTAAACCCTAAGCCCTAAACCCTAAATACTCAACCCTAAACCCTAAATACCAAACCCTAAACCCCAAACCCAAAACCCTAAATATCAAACCCTAAACTCTAAGCCTTAAACCCAGAATCTCGGAAGCCCCAAGCTCTCTGAGCCCCCCTGAATATCGAAAACCAAAACCGCAAGCCCTGCTTGGAGGTTCATGGGTGGTTTAGGGTTTAGGGGTTTAGGGGTTTAGGGTTTTGGGGTTTAGGGTTTCGGGTTTAGGGTTTAGGGGTTTAGGGTTAAGGGTTTAGGGGGTTCATGGGTGGTTGTAAGTTGGGGCTTAGATGTATTGCAACTATTTTTGTAGCCCATACTTTGAGACTCGAAACATAACTTATATGTATTGCAACTATTTTTGTAGCCCATATTTTGTGACTTGTGACTTATAACCCCACCTACAACTACCCATGAAACCTTCAAGTAAACACTGGATCCAATTGCCTTAAACCCTAAACCCTAAGCCCTTTCGTTTTTTATCGTGCTGAGGAGTGTTATGGGGCCGATTGGAAGAAGGGGAAGGAGCCGGCTTTGGTTCAGGGTTTAGGGTTTAGGGATTCACAGGGGCTTTAGGATTTAGGGCTTTATAGGGCTTTGGGCTTAGGGTTTAGGGCTCAGGGTGTTCTGAATTGATGAAGGGGCTTAGTAGGTATATCTACTTAGATTGAAGAAAATGGTGACGGCGAAGACGGTGATGGCCATGGTGCTGCTGATGATGCTGAAGGTTGACGGAACTTCTCTTCATAATGTTGGTGATGGCGATGATGAAGGTGAAGGTGGCTACTGTTTGATGGCCTTAGAGGTATGACAGCTGTGGTGACTAATGATTCTGGCAATGATGATAAGGCGCATGCTGCTTGTGATGGTGCTTCCAAAACTGTGATGGTCCCTAGCTGCATCACGTTCACCAGGGCCACAACCAGGACAGGGACAGCTTTATTCACATCTACTGCAGCGGTGGCGATGTTTATAAGTACCACCACCCTCAGCTTTTGCGCTTTTACCAACTCTACTGTATGGGTCGGAGCATTCGTAACGAAGTTTCCCCATATTCCTTCAAAAACCTAGTCTAACCGATAAGGGGCCCTTTCGTAAGCCTGCAATGTCTAAATCTGAGAGGTTTAGGGTTTTGGGCGTTTGGCATGTAGAGGTTCAGGGGTCCAGAGATCAGGGTTCAGAGTTTTAGGCTTTAGAGTTGAGTCTTTACAGGCGACCTTGATGGGCAGGGTTACCATGTTTGCGGATGCATACATTCGTGCGATGGGTGCAGCAACACGCACATCCCGTCCCCTGCGAGAAACCCCTGAAAGCGTCATGTACATCGTTACTAGAGGGGCTTGAATAATTACTAGTGCTACTTTGGGGGTTCCTTATTACAACTATAGTACGTATACCCTAAAATACTATTCTAATTCTTAAGGCCCCTACATTACTAGAGTCGCCTTGGCCAATTCCTGAACCTCTGCGAGCACCGAGCCCCGAATAGCAGCACCACTCGCGAGAGGTAGATGTAAACTCGGCCCTAGATGGAAGCCGACTATCAATCCGGATTTATTCCAGGACTTGGCATCAACTTCAGGCAGAGAGACCCTGAAACCCTGAACCTAAAGCCGGGAAGACCGGAAATATCAAGTCGTAGCTCGAGTGCCGCAGGACTATGAAGATTGCCAGAAAGAGGGCATCGAGTCCTTCCCGACCATCAAATATTACTACGGGAAGAAGGCATTCCTTGCTGCCTCAGGGTTTAGGGTTTAGGAGTTTAGGGTTTAGGAACTTATTGTTGTGGATCTTTCGCAGGTCGTTTTGCGGCTTTGAAGTGTATGGTTCTGTGGCTATTGCGGTCTCTCCTTTGTTTCTGCGGTGTTTCATCGTGCCTGCCCAATTCATCGGAGTGACCCTAAACCCTAAACCCTAAACCCTATACACCCTAAACCACTGACAGCAAGTAAGGGCATTATTTACAGCTGTGCCATGACTTGCACCCTTGCCTTGCTGACATGATTGCTGGAACGTGGCCCCCTAAACCCAAATGAGCACAAGGACATGAGACCTTCAAAATGCAGAGGGCACCATTATGGACAGTAAGCTCAACAAAGAAGTAGAGTCACAATTTTCGGGACACTCAGGCACGGCCTTTGGTAAGTGTGGGGATTCGATTACGTTTCTTCTCTGATCCCGAAAAACGGTCCGACAAGCCCTTATCGGAGCTCGGGGCTTGGGGGTTGAAGCAAGGAGCCAGGTAGCTTTATTTTGTGCTGATCCTTAAACCCTAAACCCTAAGCCCTAAACCCTAAGCCCCGAAGCCCTGAACCCTAAACCTAAGCCCCGAAACCCTAAACCCTAAACCCTAAACCCTCAACCTCGGCCCAGTTCTTGCAGAGGTAGGTTTGAGGCTCAGAGTCCCTAGCCGAAGAAGCCCCAAACCCTGAACTACTAGGGTTTAGGGCTTAAGGCTTGGGGTTTAGGGTTTAGGGTTTCGGGTTTAAGGTTTAGGGCTTAGGGCCTAGGGCTTGGGGTTTAGGGTTAAGGGTTTAGGGTTTAGGGTTTAGGTTTTAGGGCTTGGGGTTTAGGGTACTACTGAAGCCAATAAAGCCCTGTCGGCCGAAGCCCTAAACGGGCTCTTAACCCTAAAAGGCCCGTTAGACCCGAAGCCACGAAACCCTAAGCGACCCAACTCCCCAAACCCTACACCGCAGAGCCTCTCATAGTAGAATCTCTACTTAGAGGCCCAGGGGACTTAGTAAGTGGGTTATACGTAGAGTTATAAGTACTGTAAATGGAGTTACTCCAATTATAACCCTACTTATAACCGGCATACTAAGTCCCCTGGGTCTCCAAGTATGGTACCCTTTTAAAACAACACCCCCCCAATAGATCAGAGCCTCACCCCCACAAAAAGCTCAAGCTCTAAACCTTAAGCCCTGAAGCCCTTAAAGGAACCCTCACAGGAACCCTTGAAGGAAACCTTTAACGCTCCTTGGCGCCAGGACCAGTTCGGCGAGGAGATCTTGGAGCACAGCGACAAAGATCGGCTTCTGGGCCTTCACAGACCCTACAAGGGCACATTATGAAGCGTTTAGGGTTTAGGGGTTTAGGGTTTAGGGTTTGGGGTTTAGGGTTTGGGGTTTAGGGTAGTAGACCCTAAACCCTAAATCCTAAACCCCAATAGGGGTAGTAGTAGTAGTAGTAGTAGTAGTAGTAGTAGTAGTAGTAGTAGTAGTAGTGGTAGTAGTAGTAGTAGTAGTAGTAGTAGTAGTAGTAGGAGTACTAGTATAGTAGTAGTAGGAGCAGTAGTAGGAGTAGGTCAGGGTCCTTTCGTTTGTTTGGGGGCGCTTCTAGGCCCTTGTCAAAGCACCCTAAACCCCAAACCCCTCAACTCTAAACCCTAAACCTGAAGCCGTTTCAGAACCCTTCAACCCCAAAACCCTAAATCCTAAACCCTTCTAGAGTCTAGAGCCCCTGGTTCCCCCAAAAAGGGAGGCCTCGTTTTTTTCGGGATTTTGAGAGGCTCCACCGGACCTCAAACCCCTTGTTTACCCGAAAAGGGTCGGGAACCCTGAAGGAGGCCTTTAAAGGAGCTGTATAGGAACCCTTTTAAAGGAACCCTTTAAAGGAGCTTTCCAGTACCTCCTTAAAGAACCTTTTTAGAGGAACCCTATAGGAGCCCGTTAAAGGAGCCCTCTAAAGGAAATCTATAGGAGCCCTGTAAAGGAGCCTTCTAAAGGAAATCTATAGGAGCCCCTTTAAAGGAGCCCTTTAACGGAAATCTATAGGAGCCCTTTCAAGCATCCCTTTAAAGGAACTCTATAAGAGCCCTTTAAAGGAGTCCTTTAAAGGAACTCTATAAGAGCCCTTTAAAGGAGTCCTTTAAAGGAGCCGTTTCAAAAAGCCTAAACCCTACAGCCCAAAGCGTTGAGGCTCCTGGACTTCATCGAGAGCCGCGCCGATCCCCAGGCCTGGGACAAGAAGCGCCTCGGCTGCACAAAGAGGGGGTTCAGGGTTCCGTGTAAGGGCTCCTAGAAGACTCTACGGGCTCCTATAAGGGTTACCACGGTTTAGGGTTTAGGGTTTTGGGGTTTAGGGTTTAGGGTTTAGGATACGGGTTACTCGGTTACTCAAAGCTTGAGGGTTCAGGGTTTTGGATTTGTTTATGTCTTGGGGTTTGGGCGGGTTGCGTCAGGGATTCCAGTCAGAGGTCCTTGCCCACTTTTGCTATAAGGGGGTCCCACAAAAGTCTCCGAAGGAAGGTGTCTTTGAGAGTTCCGTCGAAGGCTTGCAAAAAGATTTAGGGTTTTGAGTTTGGGGTTTACCCTAAACCCTAAACCCTAAACCCTAAACCCTAAACCCTAAACCCTAAACCCTAAACCTAGGATTCAGGATAGCAGGGGTTGCTATGAGGTTCCTTAAAGATTCCTGTATGCTTCGAGGCCCTCCGGGAGTTGAGGATGTTGGGAACTCTATGCTTCAAGGAGTTAAAAGGATCCGGGGTTTATGGGTTTCTGGGTTTAGGGTTTAGGGTTTAGTGGTTTATGG